CATACAGCTTTAGTAACATAAATGCAGGTCCTTTGGACAGATGTACAAACAAAGCTGTAGAACACTTGAAATAACAAATTTATTTGGTACAAAGTAAAGCCAAACTTTGGAAATAACTCATCCATCAAGTGCTTCTTAAATGCGGACACATTTCACCCTTTTCTTCTACTAATGCAATATTATTTTTAAGCATAGTTATCCAACTCTGGCCAATTATTAGCCTGCTTGCTTGATATTTCTTCTACAAAGGCGGCATATCTTCTGGGGCACAGACTGCCAACTTTTTCCTGTTTCCTATCTTTTGCAGAAGGTCCAGTTATCTGTTATGCATTACCATAACATAAATAAGTACCAAAGTAATCCATTTTGAAGATGAGCATAGGACTCTGAAGAATGCTCAAAGAAGCAAGCTTTTGTATGCTTTCTGAAAACAAGGAAACAAAAACTGCTCTTACAGCGGACCCTCTACTTATGGAATTAATCCGTATTGGAACGGTGCCTGCAGGTCGAAAAGTCTGTAGGTTGAGTCTCCATTGACCTACAATGCATTGAAAACAGATTAATCTCGTAACCGGCCGTTTTTGTTCCATTTTTGTTCCATTTTGGGGGTTTTCTGGTCTGTAGGACAATTCTCCGGCTGCCAGTCGAACCTAAATTTTGCGGCCAGAGAAGTCTGTAACTCGAAAAGTCTGTAAGTTGAGCCGTCTGTAAGTCGAGGGTCCACTGTACTGCAAAACACTATCATCCATCCATGGAACAAACTAATCACCCCAAACTCTGATGCTTTACCAACAAAAAGTAATTTCTCAGTACATAACTTCAAAATGTGATCTGTCCAAGAGGGGGAAATGCCTTCAAATTATAGTTTTGCCTGAATATCAAGAATTGCAGCATTATCTTAACTATGCACTGCATTTCTTATTAAGTTAAACAGACTCCCCTCCTCCACTTTGGAAGGATTTCTGTTACTCTTTAGAGCGCTGTATCTCTAGCCACATGTCCTTCACTTTTCCTAACAAAAGAAGATACATCAAGTACAGATATAGAGAAAATATCCTCAGCTCACACCCTATTTAGTGCACTTTTTAACATATCAAAACTTATCTGGGTAAAGGTCTAGCATAAGTAGAAAGGCAGTATAAATAAGAATGCCAAGGAGCTTTTAAAAAACACCTATAAGTCAAACTAAAGAGAAACCAGTTAGCCAATTCATTAATTCTACTACCTGTTGACTTTCTGTGAACAGTAAGACAATTACTCCTTAACCACACCAAACCTATAATTCTGTAACAATGTGATCATAAATGGAAAAACTACAGAAAATGAATGGTCCTAAGCAAACATGTCCCATGTACAGTATCATGTATCAATCACATCAGTCTGTTTTGCTTTGGTCATACCTCATCTGCAACGCTGGGGCATCACAATTTAAGGAGGATATTGAGAAGATTAATGTGTCCAGAAGAAGGTAATCGAGATGATAAAGGGACTGAAAGCCAAACCTTCAATTGCGTGAGCCAGCTATGTTTAGCCTGGGAAACAATGAGAAGTGAAACATAGCTATTAACTAATATTTGAAGAGCTGTCACATAGAAGACAGTGAAATCTTGTTTCCAGTGGCTTCAAAGGATAGCATTTGAACAAAGCTATTTAAAATAGAAAGAGGTTTCTCCTAAACACTAGAAGCAGCTTCTCGACAGGAAGTGTTGTTCAATAGGGGAATGGACAACCCTGGAAGGCGGTGAAGTCTGCGTCACTTGAAGTTTTCTTTCTAACAGTAGTTTTACGGCCATCTGTCAGTGATTATTTAGCTGAAAGTTTCCTGAAAGGGAGCAGGGGTTGGACTTGGTAAGACTTAGGGTCCCTTCTAACTCTAAAGTTCCACTGTAAAAGAGAAATGAGGAGCAACTAAAGTTATAAGAGAACAACTAAATCAATTCATCTTAGGATTGCCTGGTCACAACCAGAAGATCACATCCTGTCCCTGGCAGAGCTGCACCCATGAACAAAAATACATTTATATGGTCACCGATCATTTTCATTTTGAAGTTCCTTTGTACACTCTCCCTGTTCAGTCTGTTGTGAGATACCTTCAGCCCTGTTTGTTCCAACAAGCACAGAAGAAAAGAGTGTTAAGATCTCCTGGTTGCTCACCACAACTCATTTTCACTCGTTAAAAAAGGCCTGAAATTCAATGATTCTCCCTCCAGAGTTTAGAATGGTTGCCAAAAAAAAGTGATTGCAGGAGGGCTCCAGTGTACTACTCCCTAAAAACAACCAAAAACCCTTCTCTTCAGTCTATTTGTGAGCTCCTTGAGTCCCTAGCTGATTTTTCACAAGTGACAAATGACCGTTAATTACAGTACCTCAACACTCTTCAGACAATTTGGCAGGACAGTGGTGCCTCAACTTACGAAGTTAATTGGTTCCGGAACTCCAGTCATAACTCAAAATGGTGGAAAGTCGAAACACCATTTCCCATAGGAATGTACTGAAATGCAATTAATCTGTTCCGGCTGAAGAAAAAAAATCACCAACCCCCCACCCCCCAAAAAACCTGCAAGACCCATCGGAAATGTGATTAATCCGTTCCGGCCAAAGGGGGGGGGGGAAGAAAAGCAAACAAACTGTGCAAGATCCATCGGAAATGCAAAACAAAAAGCAAAGCAGAAAGCAAACAAACCGTGCAAGACCCCTTCAGAAATGGGGAAAAACCCAAAAGCAAACAAATCTCGCAAGACCCATCGGAAATGGGAAAAGAAAAAACCAAAAAGCAAACAAACCCCGCGAGACCCATCGGAAATGGGGGGGGGGAACTACCAATAAACAAACAAACTCTGCAAGACCCATTACAGCATAGAAACATAATCCCATCACCCTGCCAAAAACCACGCTGCAAAACCCACCCAGAACAGTTTTTAAAAAGCAGAAAGCAGTCTGAAGCCTCCTCTGATAGCACTAATTCTAACCATTGGGGCAAAAGAGCCCCCAAAAGCACACAAACCCCGCGAGACCCATCGGAAATGTGGGGGGAACTACCAACAAGCAAACAAACTCTGCAAGACCCATTCGCGTAACTGGAAGCTCCGGCCGCATATCAAAGCAAAATTTTACGGCTGGAGTTGGTTGTAACTAGAAATGGTCATATATTGGGACGTTCATAAGTCGAGGCACCACTGTAGTAGTGACAACTCTGGCTTCATTAAAAATGATATTTGTTTTTAAAATGGTCAATTTGAAACATTTTTTAATTTTTTCAAAAACAATCCCTGCATTGTTGTCAACAGACACAAACATTGCCTCTCTTCACCAGTAACTTCGACAAACTCATTAAAAGCAAAAGTAAAGCCATATTACTCATTACAAACTGTATTCAATGATTCCATGTACTTCTGTGGCCATAACATCTCTCCTCCTATTAAGCTGTTATAAAAGCTATGGGGTGTGAGATCTTTACAGCATACAAGAAAGTATGTTTTCCAGTTTACATTTGAAAGCATCATCTCTAAACACAGATAGGAATGTCACACAATAAACAGGATCATCAGATATTAACAGCCCCCAATACAATTTCTTTGGACAATATTCTGATTAAGATGCCCTGGAACTCTTTAACTGCATGAACCTCAAAAACCAATCCATTTTCATAACATGCATTTCCTCTTCTTCCAAATGTTATTGTCACACACTTTCACATTCAGTTCAACTCCCCAAATCAGAGTTTGCATATGGTGCTTAGTAGTACATTGACACAGAGTTCTCAGGCAAAGAATAAACACTGATTATGTTTTCCTTCAAAAGGAAGCACTGTCAGGAGCGCCAGCAAAGTCAATGGGCCTGCTCACATTGTATCACATTTCACATCAGTCTAATAAAAGGTGGGTTTGATTCAACTTCCGCTAGATTACTGTATCAGAAATATGCCCTTTTCTTCCTCTCTCAGTTCCCATCACTCAGGACTCTCTACCAGAAACAGCACATACAGACATATTGTCAAATTTTATACAACCTAAAGCTTCAGCCCCCCTTCCTTTACCTTTCAAGTAATTCTCAGCAACATCTCATCTGCGGAGATATAGTATCTCCTTCCATTCTGACTATATATATCTCTATTTACCAAACAGTCACACTACGTTTTTAATGTATGTACAGTATATGAGAAATCCTGATCATGCAAAGCTTTCCATTCTCATTCTCCCCTGCTGTACTGTTCCTATAACAACCTTCCAAGGGAAAAATAATAACCCCCTTTTATTTCTGTTGCTGTCATCTTGGGTCTCTTTCCCAAAAGGTTTCCAAACAGAGGGAAGTTCCCTGGAAATGCTACATTACTAGATGGAGGAAAGGAGGTACAGAGATGGGGCAGGCAACAGCTCCCCGGCCTCTCCACCCAGAAGCCAGAAGGAAGAAGTTAGAACAGGGCAAAAAAGGAGAAATCAGAGACAGCCAGGCCCTCCTGTGGGGGGGGGGGAGGACTGCCAGAACAGTTGCCTGCCTTCTCTTCTCTCCCCCCCCCCTTTTTGGAGGTCACAATGAACACAGGCATTGCAGGCCTGGCCCGTTAAAGGATGTCAGCAAGTCTCGTTTACACAAGGCCAGACCTAACCGTCTCCAGCAGCCCCTGCGTGTCCTCCCTAACGATGGGCAAGAGAAGAGGGCTCGGTGAGGAAAGTTTACCTGAAGGAAAAGGCTTTGCGTAAACTAAGGCAGGGCTGGCCAAACGCAGGCAGGGGAACCAGACACACGGGGGAAAAGACTTGGCAGGGACATGTCAGCAAGTCTCGTTTACACAAGGCCAGACCTAACCGTCTCCAGCAGCCCCTGCGTGTCCTCCCTAACGATGGGCAAGAGAAGAGGGCTCGGTGAGGAAAGTTTACCTGAAGGAAAAGGCTTTGCGTAAACTAAGGCAGGGCTGGCCAAACGCAGGCAGGGGAACCAGACACACGGGGGAAAAGACTTGGCAGGGACTGGTTTGGGAAGCGGCCGGCGGGAGCACTCACGTTCTCGGTGTCCCGCTCGTTGACGGTGGGCAGTGGGGTGCGGGTGGACATCTTGCGCGGGCAGCAGCAGCAGCAGAGCAGGAGCGCCGCCGCCGCCGCCAAACAAACAAGCCTGGACCGAGGCGGGAAGGGCCGAGCCTGCGGCCGCCCGCCTGGCTAGTGGGCTGCCGCCTCTCTCCCGCCCCGGACTCCCAGGCCTCGGCGGCTGCGGGGTCTTGCGTTCCTCCCTTAGGCTCCCGCCGTCCTTGCCATGGTT